CAAATTCTTTAGCCATATCTTTCTTCTGAAAAGGAAAAAAAAATAACGCAAGTATATTCCGGAATAGTTCCGTGTACAAACGAAATTTGCATAGCAAATGCGAGAAACATATATTTTAATTATAACTTTACGATAGAAAACAATTTCCCTACTTAAATGACAATGTCGACTGTTCAATCAAATATTCTAGAACTTAGCCTGATCGAAGAAGGAGTGGTTTTATTACTACTAAACCTTGATAGTAAAATTAACAGGTCCGGATACGGAAAATTAAAACATTTCTTGGAATTATGCAGAATGTAGAGAGAAACACTTGATAAGTATATATATAAAATTATCGTCTTCGCCGCGAGCTGCCAAAAGACTGGATATTTTGCCAAATCATTAGAGAGTTTTAGAATAGGGGGCCCCGAAACGTGGGGGCCCCCTATTCTAGATGCGCCGAACCGAAACTGGGTCTTGTGTCTTAGGTTGACCTTCGCCTTAAAAGAAAACTTCGAGAAATAGCTTGGAGCCCCTATTTGCTTGGGGCCGGGTTGCGTCGGCAAACATGGCGGCGCCCTTTCCGCTCGTTTCGGAGAAAATTCGTCATTGTCGCTGTCGTATTAGGCATGTCTAGTGCCAGTGAATGATGCAGTCGGCTTTCGCTTCGCTTTATCTTGCTCAAATCACAAAGAATGAGTGGTGAGCTCGCCTCATTTTAAAGATTGTGGGCAACCTAGGGATTCCGAGCGTTTGGCCCAGGCTGCCCCTCCGGCGAATCGTCGCTGGTCCTCTGCACCGCGAGGGGTCCAAGGGCTACTGGCCACGCGAGCGGCGCTCCGCCGCTGATAAAGGTCCGTCGCAGCATATGCGCGGGGGCTTTCGGGATAGCGGCACGGGCGACAACAGTCATTAAATGTCTCCCTGTTGTTGAACCGGTGTGCTGCGTCATTCCCCGAGACGAGCAGCAGCAAGGGTATTGCCACAAGATCATATTCTGATTCAAGCCGTTCCTAAGCATAAAGAGACGCGGTAACCGTTGACATGGCAACGTCTCAGTATACTCGGAGACCCCGAGTGGATTTCATTCGTGGCACGTGAACTGTGGCTTTAAAACGAGTATCCCAAGGCGTCCAAGTCCCTCCAGCCCAAATCTCAATGAAGCTGCGGCTCGCAGAGTATGCTCGATCGCGTTCATCTCAGTTTTGGCATAGTTGAATGCCTACATCTTAGGCGACAGTCGCTCAACGTGGCACGCGAACGCTGAAATCAGTTCGAAAACGAGCGCCAAATGAGAGTGCTGCGGATTGGGTTGTTCTGGCTAGAAAGAGCTAAGAATATTTATGCAGATTTTAGCTTGTCTACTGCTTTAGCAGGGTTAATTTGGTTTTGCCTTAATTGTTATTTGTAAGCAAAAGGTACTTGCTCGGCGCATACGTTTTACATTATATAATATTTCTCTCTTTATTTCAATAATACGCTTGTTAACCACATTGACGCTTCAGGTAACCCAAGCGCGCCGCGGCTGCTTTGGTAGATGCCCTACTCTATAAGCCGATGGCGCCAACCTTGTTGTATTTGGGTCCCCAATTTCTTATGGACATCCAAACGTTGGAGCCCCCTATTCTAAACTCTTCATTAGCACCTAAAACTTGAAGCAAGCTACAGTTAAATAACTACCGACCTATTTCGCTTAATAAATTATTAGAAGATATCATAGGTAAACATGCAAAAAAATTTTTAACGACAATAACCTCTTTTAGTTTAATCAGGATGAATTTAGAGCCATGGTTAAGCAGTTAAGTGTAATCTTACATGATTTTGGAATGCATTTTTTATATTTAGAGTTTGATGTTTTAATATCAGCTAATTTGAAGTTGGCTTTGTTGCAAGGTATTGACCCCTCGTCCCGAGCTATCAAATTGTAAACCAGACCAAGGGGCCTGCAATTTGACTTAGGCTTAGAGGGCTGAAAGTTCAGTCTGGCTTCACAATACCTGGGCGGTTGAGATGAATCTTCAAAGCTGTTCTCTAAATTTTTGTAGGATTTTATTACTTTTTATTAGCTGTTGTGCTAAGTCGTGGTTTCTTTAATGATTTGTATTTTCAGAAGTGGGCCTTCAACTCCTTCAGCTGGTACTGCAGGCCTGGTAGCATTACTTGTGACCCATGTACCAGAATGAAGAGCTGAAAGCAAGGTTCGAGTAAGAGGACTAGTGGTTCCCGCGCAGCTAGGGAACCGTTATGGACTTTACAATTTCTGTGATGCGATGCCTTAAAGTAAAATACTTCATAAATTTTACACTCCTGGAATAACCCCAAACAGTATATTCCGGATAAACGCCTACTTAACAACGCGGGGAAGTTTGTAAAATTTAACGGTAAATACTCAAAGCGACTCAGGGTATATTCTGGCGTACCTCAAGGGTCAGTGTTGGTACCACTTATATTTCTTATTTATGTGAATGAAATCGGCAAACATATCAAGCATTCTGTAAAAGTCCGATTTTTCGCGGAACTTTGTAATTTGTTCTGTATATTAACCAAACGAAACGACCAAGAGATACTGAACATGTCATTAAATATTTTACAAGCTGAATTGTCTCGAGTGGGGAATGAAAATTGTTCATAAAAATTGGGTTGCTCTGAAAATTAGTGATAAATGCGGGTCCTGTAATTCAAGTGTAAAGTTTCATCAACCCCGTTGTTTAAAATTCGACACTACTAATAACCACGGAATCATATTATCTCGTGATTTAAAGTGGGAAGCACGTATCAATTATATCTGCAGCATAGCTCGCTGAAAATAAGACTTGTTCGGTCGAGATTTAGAGACACACCACACCGGAATATAAGCTATCGGCCTACAAGTCATAGATGCGGCGACCTTCACTAGAACATCCGAGTATTGTTAGGGACCCTCACCAAAAAGTATTTTAAAGGTGCCATCCAGAAAGTTTGAAATGGGAGTTTAGAACTTATATTTTTTTTTAAATGTAGGCTTGCGAAGAGCATGACCACCTTATTTAAAACATCCAAACTGCGGAAATTAGAAACTAGACGGTACATTGCAGTCTAAAAAATTATGCGTCGTAACCTTGAAGTACACACATCATTATTTTAAAACGCCACATTGTCGTTCATGTAAAGCTAACCATACAAAAAAATGATAAGGCTATGTAGCAGTAATATTGATTTGTTTAACATATTCGACAGTGTTCTAATCGCTGAAGAGTCGAACTTACTTTAGGAAAAACGTGAGTAACTTATGGTAACTAACGCACCATCATAGAGCGGCTCCTGAAAAAACATCTCTCCGCTCGACTCGAACGGCTCCTGGGCGCTTCGGAGTACGATACCCGACTCAGGTGCCGCGTCGTCGACGGAACTTGCCGCACGTTACCGTCGCCGTCGGCGTTACCGCGCATTACATTATAGGACGTTTCCCATAATAACATCACACGGCGGCTTAATCTGGCAGGAAACTTTTCCGCTAAATATAGCGGGGAAATACTTCTGCTGAATTTAGCGTGGAAATGTTTTCGCTAAATTTAGTAGAGAAAGTTTTCCACCCAATTTAGTGAGCAATTTTTTTGGCTAAATTTAGCGGGGAAATTTTTTTGTATAAATGTAGCGGGGGAACTTGCCGGGAAATTGCCTCACAATTTCCCCGTTAGTTCCCCTCTGTACCTTTCCTTCCCCTCCGTAGCCTTTCCTCCTTCTCCTCAAGAGCTGCGTTTTAATTCGGCATTGCAGAAGAAGGCAAACGTCTATCATTTTTTTTAAACTGCATCATGTTATCAAAATAAAAAAATAAAAAATAGTCAAGCGAGTGCATACGTAGCCGAATGGTTACCGTGCTCCCGCAGAGACCCCAAGTATAATTACTGGGAGCAGACGATTTTTTTTATTTATTCTTTCAATTTAGCGTTTTCAAAATTCAAGAACCTTGTGGTCCGATCAAGTTACGAACGTTCTACGCGCCGAACGTTCTACGCCGAATGTTCCAGAAACCCCCGCGGGTACAAAAGGTGCTCCGCGTGGCGAGCCGGAGTCGGTCTCACCCCAGCGATCGATTCTGCTGTTAAGCCGCAATCGACGGCTGCGACGCTAGCCTTTTCCTATTTTGTTTTGAACACAAGTTCGCCCCAATAAACACTTAATTTCTGTCAGCGATTCATCCCGTCATCAATTTCCATTCGTAAAGATACGTTACTCAATATTTGCCATCACAAGTTAGTTCAAGTTACGGCAAGAAGTCAAGGATAGTTTGAAATAAATATAGCTGTTTATTTTAGATACAGTCGTTAAATTTTGCTACTTTTAGATAAATGACGTACATTTCTGCATTATTAACAAAACGAAAATAACGGCTAAGCAAAAAGTTTAATATATTCGTAAACTGCTTTTTAAGATGCACATTCTGATATATTTTGCGACATTTTGCGTAAAATTGGTTGTTTGTAAATAATTTGTGAAAATATCTCTGAAACGTGTTATTTCGACGTGTTTCTTTTCTTTTTTTCTTGCATAGAAGTATAATATTGGGATTTTGAATATTTAATGTCTTATTGAAAATTGTTTATAAAATAGAAGAAAATAGTTTTAAATACTTTGTTTGGTGTGTCATTGGCGGCTGTGCAAATTGCCATAGTGAAATCTCGGCAATGTCCATGCCACGAGCTTCTCAGTTTTATATCTCTAAAAAAATTTAGCTACTGCGTTTACATATAGCTTAATGTTTCTCCCAAGAAATTGGCTTTCACAAGTATTTCGTACAAAACTATAAAATATGACCCGGAGAGTCAATGTACGATCGGACGTTGGAACAACTTATTTTGACTGTTAATTTGGTTTAATAGTTCAGATGCGTCTCTTGACGGGTTTTTGGGGCAAATCAATGACAACCAAAATTTTCCCTTCCGGCAGCAGCATTTCTCGTTTACAGCATGGTAGGTGACTCCGATAGTTTATTTTTACGACATTTGCCATTCCGTAAAAGAAGTCGTACTGTGCGGTCAAGCGTTATGGTATTCGACTTCGTATTCCTTGGCGGAATAATAGAGCCAGTAGACGAGGTTGAAGAAGGCGAAGCAGAGTGGGAACAGGTAGCGGCTGGCCCTGTCGATCGCTTCGGCCCGCTTCACGTTGCGATGAAGCTCCAGCTTGCTGCTCGTGTCCATCTTGAGCAGAAAGTCGTCCGTCGGGTATCCGTATCTGATTTGCTGAAAAGACATTGAAGCTCCCTTTTTTATGACTGAATTCCCAATCATGTTTGTACTATACACTTAAAGAAAGAAAAATGCATCTAGCGCGGGTAGTATAATAAAATGGCGTTTTGGCAACTTTGAATGCCCCAAGTGCCTGCCGACTTTGGTCTGCTTCACGACGCTACAATATGGTGTAGTCAATCACCCAGCGCCTAATATGTATCGCCACGGCGCTCATTTTCTCTACGGGTTCGCTGTCACCGGCTAAAACAACGGCGGGCAGCAAGTTATTCAGGATTGCTACGCATGCATTGTTCGTGGCTTTTTTAATCAGAGACGCCAAACGCACAAAACTTTCAAGGTCCTTGACGATTCACTTTTTGCTCTGCTTGATTGGCTAGATTAGATCGTAGCCTCGGTTGTTGTGGCACTAAAAACGTAACGAAGTATAGCCCTCAGCGAAAAGTCGCCCCCCCCCCCCTCCCAGCTACTAGATAATTAGCAGATATGTCTGCACATGACAACGGGGGGAAGGTCTCTTTCAAATGAGATATTCAAGTCCAGGCAATCGTAAGTTAAATGAGAACAAAAATATCAATACAACCCCCCCTCCCCCCTAAAAAAAAATTGTGCAGTGCGTTTTTTCGAGTCTGTATCCCTTGTTAAAATTCAAAACCTTCAAGATTCGTATGTGTTGTTAAATTCGCTTAAATTGGCGAAAGAATAATTTTGTCAAAGAACGCTTAAAGTTCGCTGCGAAACTATTATATAGCGTTTCATAATTTTATCTAATGTAACCTTCCAAATCATTCAATAAAAGCGTATGCCCTGCCAAGCAGAACGCCTGTGGACCACTAATATTCGCCCAGTCTTGTATTTACACTGTAAATGCTGGCAGCCACTAGGCTACACGTGGTTGATAATTTGTAGTTATACATGCGAACTTGGTCGGAGATTCGTTTGTACAGGAAGGGGAAGGGCCGGTGCGTTGGTATTGCGTGTGTTCAGCACTGCTTATGTTTGCCTGTATAGGTGCGTTTTCATATTCGGCGTGTTGGTGCTTATGTTGCGCATGCTTTTGTATACGAGGCCTAGACGAAGGATTGATTTCTTTCAGTTTTGTCTTTTGCGTGGGTGCTAGGTGGTGAACGACAGCGCCTGATTTGAAGAAAACTGAGCATGCAGCTGTGCTTTATCTATTTCTTATAGACGGGACCAAAGCAAATGGCGTCTTTGGCTTGACAACAATGTGATAATCGTTCCACCCAACTACCTGAGGACGGGTTATATGCTCCGAAACCCCGAAATGTGAGCACACACCCACGGATGGATAACACACTTCAGTAAAAACAATCACGCTCAATAATAATAATAATAATAATAAACTGCGGTTGCGTTGTTGCAGTGACTATGGTCAGTGTCAACTGAAGGTGTTGAGCAATTCCGGTCTGCTTACAGCAAGGGGACGCAAAGCTCAATAACGTCAGCATGCCCATTGTGATGTGTAGTGTTTGATGACGCATTGAAGACATTTAATAGACGTATGAGCTTTATCCTACCGCTCCGTCGAAAAGCTGTGCAGTTCTTAAGGCCTTATTCGTATCGCTCGCCTGTCACTTGCCGGTCGCCGTGTTTAATGGGGTGGGCCGTTCGTCTACCGGTTATTTGATCACGTGCGGCAGTGTTTCCCAAATGTAGGGTCGTGACATACTCAGCGAGGACTAAAAAAAAACATGTCAGATACTAAAAAAAAACTGGTCTTTTTATTATTGGCGTTAATGAAAACAAGGTACAGTTTGCAGCTCAACATCGAGCGGGAACTGAGAGTTACGGTGAACAAATTCAGCCCTCGATTTGAGAAACTGTCCTAAAAAGGAACATCACTTTTGTCATTCGAAACAGGAATTCCTGCTGATAGCGCTGTTTTTTTATATGGTTTTTAGCTCAGCTAAGTTACTCTGACTGTAATAGCTATCAAACAAAACGTTTTGCTATATTTTGTGTACTACTTTTGATGCACTTAACAAACCAAATAAATCGTTTGGCATCGGGACAAACTGCGGGTGGGAGGGGGGGGGGGGGGCGCTGTAATTTAATACTTGCTATTTTTGATGGGTCGCAGGGTAGTAAACTGTGGAAGCACTGCCGTACGGAGTTATCATTCTCGGCCCTGGGGTGATTACATATATAACAGCGTTTTACCACCTTATTGTTTTATTAAAGCAGATGTAACAATCTCTTTGAGTCCCTACGCCACTTTCTTATAGGCTAAGGTGTGAAACCAAGTGGGCGCTTCTAATATGTACAAATTATTTGTATACTTACGTTCTCCAGTGATTTGATTTAATAGTTTGCATTCAGTGCGAAACAAACCGCGTGCTGCTTCCAGTGGCGCCATTTTTTTTTTATTATTCTTTTTCAGCCCTTAGTGGAATGTTCTTGTGGATGCGAATCCTAATCAGACGCTTTAAATTGGTGAAAGCTTGTCACTGTTTATTGTGTAATTATATTTAGGTATATCTGGAGTGATCAGTATCCGGAAAACGTTTAAAGACAATGCTGTCAGCAATTGTAAAGAATACATGTAAACACCACCAGTGCCACGGATGATATGTGACGATCGTCACTGCAACTTTTAGTTACAATACTATACATGCTAATTGAAACAGAGAGTGTATGTAATACCTTGACAACGCTCCGAATCGTTTTGTTATTTTATGGCACCCGATGCGTGCGAAACTCTTCCTGTTTATTAACACACGTTGGGGTAGCTTGTACCAAGAGAGATAGAAAATCGTTCAGTTTAGATGAATCTCAAAACCAGTGTTTACACGCGTAACGAAGCTAGTGGGTCCGTAATTTTGTTAGTATAAAGTAACAAACCTCACGCAGTATATTTCTAACGAGTGTCTTAGTAAAGCATACTAAATAACAAAAAGAACAAAACGTAGCGAAGACGAAGCGCAGACGAGTGCACACGTCAGCGTTTCGTCCTCTCTATGCTTTACTCTCTTCTGTCTACATACGCCGTAGTTTATCTAGGACGTTCCCATAGCCGTGACCTTGTGTTTAACGAATAAATGGCGCACTTATTACCGAACGTTGGAGATGCACAATAACATTCGGGAATACTTTGGAAGCCTGAAATATTTAATTTATCCAAGAATTTTCTTTATTGGATTCTACGTTTGGGCAGATTTTTCATCATCTTCTCCGGACATTTTTGCTCGAAATGTCCCCGAGTCACTAATGAAACTTATCCTTTTGCGGAAGTTACCCAATAACTGGATGATCAGTCGACATCAAACAAGTGCAACTTACGTGGATAAGGTTGGCGATGCCGAAGTCCACCCTGCGCATGACAGCGGGTCTGAGCCTCACGCGGATCAAGTAGTTGACGAGCGTGGTTTCCGCGAGCTCCGCGAAGATGAATATGATGCAGGCGGTGATCCACACGTCGATGACCTTGACGTAGGTCACGCGCGGCATGGTTGCCCGGATGGAAGAGGCTATGGAGAGCACGGTGAACAGGGTGACCACGCCGAGGGCGAAGCGGATCTGGGGCAGGTGTATGGTGATGTAGAAGGCCACCCAGGAGATGAAGACGGCCAAGCAGGTCGGGAAGTACGACTGGATCAGGTGGTAGTGGATGCGCCGATAGAGGACGAACGTGGCGTTCAGGCAGCTGAAGGTCCCTGGGACCAAGAGAAATCGTCACATTCTGGGAAGCAGAGATACCGTGATGCTCAAAGTGAGGTGATTCACTTATACTGACTGCGCTAAAAGTAGTCATAAACCGATGGCGTAGCGAGGTTTGTGCATATTATTACTGCAACCCTCCAATGACATTGCGTCATTAGCCGAAAGGAACGCCTAAGAACAAAACCCGGAGCAAGAATCGTGAACACCCACCTCCAGCGTTTCTTACACTGTCAGTGACTCTAGAACCTTGAGCCGGGTTGTGCTTGAAGAACACATTTAAAGTGCACAATGGTGCGCACTTGAAACGTACATGTTTTTGACATACGGGTCCAAAATACTTCGTTCTTTTCGAATAAAAGGGACACTCGTTGTTTATATATTTTTTTGCAGCGATATACGGGGTGTTTCAGCGCAGACTTCTTGCAATTCCTTTAAGTCCATCGTGGCTAGCAGTTTCTCCCCGAAAAGTGTTTATTTTCTCTCTCGATCACGCTATTTCGAAAATCGGAAACACGCTGTATAAAGTTTGCCCAAGACCTTGCAAATCCTTGCGGCCTTTGCAAGCCATTCAAAGCACAAAGCCTGCTATAGCGAGAGTCCGTGGTTTAGCCCAATTACGCCCCTGTTTACCGATTAGCTAATGAATACAAGCAATAACGTGCATCGAATATAACGTTATAATTTGCGGATGTTCATATAATAACTAACCTAGAAAAACACGCTAAAAATGAGCGAAACATCATTCTGATTAAATTATTTTATCCCCACTTTACTTGCATTGTTGACTGTCTAGATCTCAAGTTCGTGTGTTGAAGACAAGTCATTACAAGAAATTTCTTGAGCCTCTTTCATAAAGTTAATGGGGTATGTAAGCTGAATAGTGGGTAGTCGCTATTAGAGAGTTTTAGGGAACCGTTTCTGCACATCCGATACGGTACGATAGGCCCTCCGCTACCAACTGCGCATGTGCGAGTCTTCTGCTTCAGCGCATGCGCAGTTTGAACCGGAGGGCTCATCGTACCTTATCCGGTGTGCAAAAACGGTTCCCTGAACCTTTCTAATTACCGAAAAGTTTCATTACTTTTCACTTTATTTTGGCACTAATGCAAGAACGAAATATTTTTTTTAAAACAACGCAACCCGAAGGTCAAAAAAAAAAAAAAAGAAAACAGAAAACACGTTAAAGGGCCCATGAAACGATTTTTGGGTTGGGATAAATCATTTTAGATTGGGATTTTACTAATAGAACATCGTTCAGTGGGCCAAATGAAAAATGGTAGAAAGTCAAAAGCCTGACATTCAGTGCGAAAATTTGAAAACACAGCGGACTATTTCGTTCCTTCTCCCCTTCGTAACTGCTCTGCCTTTTCACTGGGATACATCCGCGGTCTCAAAAGCGTGTCATCGGGTCCAAACTGACGTCACACAAAACCGGACCTCATTTAGTCCCTTCACCCCTAAGCTGACATTGTGCTGGAAGCTACGCGCTTGCCGGACCAATCAGCCACCTCCGTTTCATCACCTGACTTCATTCTCTGCAGCCACATTTGCCACGCTTACGTGGCAAAAGTGTGGCTAGCCCAAGGAGCACGTAGCTTCCACAGCACTGTCAGCTTAGGGGTGAACCGGCTAGGGAAAGAAACTTTTGTCTGAGTTTTGAGCGACGGGCTAATCTTCTAGGGGGAGAATGGATGTGTCCGGGGATTACACAAACCAGGTTCCGAGCGAGAGGGGCCTCCCTTCTTTTCGTCTTCTTGAACTGTTTGGTGGAATGCGCGATTTATGAGTTGAAGAGGAAAGCGAAACAGGAAAAAGTTGGAAAAGCGTTTCATGACCCCTTTAAAGGGCCCATGAAACGATTTTTTGGTTGGGATAAATCATTTTAGATTGGGATTTTACTAATAGCACATCGTTCAGCGGACCAAAAGAAAAAAGGTAGAATGTCAAAAGCCTGACTTTCAGTGCGAAAATTTGAAAACAGAGCGGACTATTTCGCACCTCCTCCCCTTCGCAACCTCTCTGCCTTTTCACTGTGATACATCCGCGGTCCCAAAAGCGCGTCAACGGGTCCAAACTGACGTCACACGCAACCGGACCTCACTTATTCCCTTCACCCCTAAGCTGACATTGTGGTGGAAGCTACGCGCTTGCCGAACCAATCAGCCGCCTCCCTTTCATCACCTGACTTCATTCTCTGCAGCCACATTTGCCACGCTCACGTGGCAAGTGTGGCTGGCCCAACGAGCACGTAGCTTCAACAGCACTGTCAGCTTCGGAATGAACGGGGTGGGGAAAGCAACTTTTGTCTGAATTTTGAGCGACGGGCTAATCTTCTAGGGGGAGAATGGATGTGTCCGGGATTACACAAACGAGAGCGCGAGCAAGAGGGGACACCCCCTTTTCGTCTTCTTTAACTGTTTGGTGGAATGCGCGATTTATGAGTTGAGGAGGAAAGCTAAACAGGAAAAAGTTGGAAAAGCGTTTCATGACCCCTTTAAGTTTAAGATAAACGCTTGCGAACGCAGAACACCTGATAATGCAAAACTTCGCGCATATTTTAATTTTAAGTTTTACTATGGTCTGCTCAGCTAGGTAGAAGCTCCTACTGCAGTACACGCTTCTATACACCAACTCATGTTTACAAATAAACCGGAGCGCCCGGAGCGCCCCTAGCGGACGCCACCGACGCCGCGCATGCGCGATGGGGGTTCGGGCAAGAAGCGCGCCGTCGCCCATAAACAAACCATTGAAATGCGATGTTGTCGGCGTTGGTGTGAGTCCCCGCGTCCTTTTTCGCGTTGGAATTGTTGATTCTACGTCTTCCTGGCGATGTCTGACTGCTTGAGCGGCGTCAACGAAATTAACGAGGCTCGTTACACCTCAAAATTCCACGTGAATAATCTGACATCCGGTTATTCATTTCGCGTGGATGCCGCAGAATGTGCGCTGAAGCCTGATTCACATGATGAGATTTCCCTCGCAATTTTCAGTAGCGACATCGCTCGGACTGAAAAAGCGTAAACCGTAGCTGAGATGGTCGACGTCGATATTGAAAATCGCAAGCAGAATCTAACCAAGTGGATCAGGCATAACAAGTCTGTGATGGCCACTGGTTAGAATGATCAATATCTCCTTGTATCTACTGTTTACGTCGCGCCTGCTTACCAACCTTCATACTTAAATCTTTTGAGGCCTGCACTTACTTCTTATCGCAAGTACCGGGCCCACCTTTGGTCTATGGGCCGGTGTCCTCTAAAAGAGCAGACGACAAGCAGAAACGTTTGAAAGAGCAGACGACAGTTCGAACGATCACGCGGCCGTTTGAACTTGAAGACGCACTGAACGTAGTCCGCAGGTGGTACGTACAACTTGACGGTTTTCCGGCGTTCATTTTGGAACAAAACAGAAAAATCTGATGGCCAGAAGCATCCGTGAATTAAACCCAAAATGCTTCCCGCCAGAGCAATCGTGGTCCGACGGCGTCTAGTTTTCCCTTTTCACGGCACATATCCACGTTCTCGGACGAACCGAGCGCATGAAAACTGACCTTCAAACCTCTCTCGACTCTTTTGGTACAGCCCTAGTCGCAGCATTTTTACGAGAAGGCAGGTTTTTGTCTGGTTCCTTTCAAAACAACGCAGGAATACACGTCTTACATGGGCACTTCCGCCCACAGCCCCGGACCGAAAGTGCGTCCGACGCGCCACCACCGCGCCGTGACGTAACAGAGATGAGTTCGTGTATAGTCGGTGACGAATTAAGAATGCAGGGGGAGGAAAAGGAAGACTTCGTGGGACGGGAACGTGGGGGGAGGGGGGGGGGGGGGGGGGGGCAGGCGGACTGCTGGGGCGAAAGAGATGTTGCCTCCTCTCATCTGCCGCAGTTTATCTTCTTCCTTCTCCCCAGCCTTTCTTTCCCTTGCCCGGAACTCTTAACCTGTCACCTACTATACACCTTTTTCCCAAGGGCGCGGCCAACTTGATTGTCGTCACTTCTGGTATGCAGTAAAGCATCGTTTTAATCTCTCCACGCCGCTGGAACGTGTTTACGAAGAATGCGTGATTGTTACACATTTTTGTTTTGCCTCATCTATATTTCTCGCATATTTCAGTTTGAAATGATTTATTATTCTTTCTTACCGCATACCAGATACGCGAGCGAGAACGACAGGAAACAGAAAACGTCTATAGCACTCCCCTGGCGGCGCATGTTCGCGAATCACTGAAGTGTTATTGAAGGCAGAAGACTCCCTCTGAAGGAGAGCTTTTACCGCATATCTTGCATTGCCGCAAGACTAATATATATATATATATATATATATATATATATATATATATATATATATATATATATATATATATAGATATATAACTGAGAAGAAAAAACCCTTAGTGAAAACAGCAACAACGGACGATTTAATCTTCGACGTTTCGGCCGGTGTCCGGCCTTCGTCAGGAAGGCTTCCTGACGAAGGCCGGACTCCGGCCGAAACGTCGAAGATTAAATCGTCTGTTGTTGCTGTTTTCACTAAGAGTTTTTTCTTCTCAGTTATATACCCACGCCTTCGGCCTCCCGCCACCATGCCCGCTATATATATATATATATATATATATATATATATATATATATATATATATATATATATATATATATATATAGGGGGGAGTTTTTGTTTGTATAAGAGATTTTGATTAAACTCACCCAGCTGTCGTTTTTCCTCATAGGCCCCTGTGTGAAACTCAATGAGGTCGAACTCCTCCATCTGTATCTCAAATTCTAGAGTCAGGGGATTCTGGCGCGCCCACGATATCCTTGTCTGTCCCGTTTTTTGGGCATCTGAAATTAGAACCTTCATACGGTGAGTCCTCCAAACATTATAAAAGCATAAATTTAAGTATTTGCAAAACTGTATCTTGTTCAAACTCGTCAGAAGCTCGTGGTTTACTGACTCAGAACGAAGCAGTTGTTGACAAGAAGAATCTACATTTATACGACCCTACAACCAAATTATTATTTGACAGAAATGAATACATGTATATTGCTAACCAAAGGATTTACGATAAATTTAATAAAAATATATAGCCGTATTCTAAAGTCCACAATATGTATTTCACTTGGTAATGCTTACATAAAAATAAATTACTGCCAGTTTAAGTATAAATGGTGGTCCTTCTTTAGATTAAATACAGGGTGTTTAATTTTTATCCGGAAAGTTTTATTTTTTTTAATGCAGGACAGCTAGATCAGTGTTGTTTTCACAATGTTTCTATCGGGCTTCAGAGAACTATCGTAAAGGTAAATTGACGAATTAAAAAAAATATATTTGTGAATTAAGATGTTTAATATTTGTTTTACGCGTCATCTTGTAATTGCAGTATTGACGGCAATTACTGCTGGTTGCCAGAGCAAATTAAAAAAAAAGTAAATACAGAATGTTATATTTTATCATTTATTACCTTTTTTTGCGTTTTTTCGCCTGTTTTGAAAATTGCGTGCAAAAACAGTACCGCAAGTCAAGCCCACGATGACGCTTAGAAGAGTGACGTAGTCGTTTCAGTCAAGTCTTCACTTGCATCGTCAGCGCACCCACGAAGCGCAAGCTGCCGAGATAGTGATGACATGATTCTCTTCCCAATTAGTTTTTCTCTTAAAGTTGGTCTGACCTCTAATAGAAATTGAAGTCAATACTGAAATTGCAACATGACCCCGGCAACCACTAATTATAAACTGAATCATACAATTTGAGTTATTTAGCCAACTTACTATGACGATTATCCCCTCATATGATTTCCGCCAAGCCTGATATAAACATCGTTAAGACAGCACTCGTTGACCTTTCATCTTCCTTTCTTTTAAATCTGTTCGAATTGAGATGAACAAACCCCATGTATATACCAATTTATATTAAGTTGTACTAGCATAACGCAAAAGAAATGTGGTGGAACCGGGCAACTCGTCATTTCTGAGAAACTCGGTAGCCTCAAGTGGTGAGCCACAAACATTTTAGCATTGACGAAAGAGTTCGTTACAGTAATCAAACCAACCCGAGTAGGCACGCGTACCCTTGAGAGCTGTAGTTTGCCACTAAAAAGAATAAATGAACACTTCTATACTTTCTTGAGGGACACAGCTGTGCTTTAGAGCTGGCATAGCCGCTTCAGATTCCCGCAGCGGAACATATATATCATATTAATTTTTACCTATGTCGAACTTCAAAACTGTGGCACGGCTAGCTACAAAAAAGTGAAAAGAATAAGGACTCTATTTGTTAGTTTTTTTTTTTTTTTTTGTTTTTGTTTTAACTACTTGCATTGCGATTACAGACGGCATAAAATTGGCAAAAAACGAAAAAAAAAATAAAGAGGATGTTTTGTAGTTTTCACCCAAACTGAGCACTTCTTACATAAACTAGACACAGAAATGCGTCTCAATTTACCTGAGGCTGTCCCTTTTTCTTGAAATCACTAGTCACAAGTAGCACGCGCGGTTTCTTATTGTCCATGTTTTTAACTTCATGGTTCGGTTTTTGGTTGTCATCCTTGTCCTCAAATGCCGCAAGCCTTTTGGATGCGAAGCGATGATATGATACTCGGCAGTCGAGAAGTACAGCGTTTCTTAAATTGCCATTGACTATACTATCAACGCAAGCTGTGTTTTGCTCTTATAACCAGCTAGCTATAAAGCATCAAAGCGTCATTGTTATTAAACGTTTGTTTAAATTCCCCCTGGCTGTCTAAGAATACGTAACAGGTTAAAAAGCTATTTATAAGGAATACATATCATGGGTTCCTTACAAGGTCTGATGATCATTGGACACCTCTGTTTGTCCAATGGGAACAGCCTGAAGTCCATCCGACAGGACAGTTTGAGCCGTACCCTGGAAAATAATGCACGTGGCACGGTGAGGCACAATTGAAAGTTGCTCAGTTTAGGCTCTTTTGAAACGAAGGCATATTTTTAACATACATGTTTTGAAAGTGATGCCGTGAAGAGTCTTATATAACATCGTCTATATATGTTCTAAAAATTCGTGGGAACCTCCATCTCTTAAGATTTAGATGTTAAATGGAGCAGTGAGTAATCAAGCAAGCTGAAGGTTTAACAGACATTTTTAAATTTTACTGTGAAATAAGTTAATATACGATCATATAAAAACCGTTTATTAACCTATAAAAAGAATATAAAATTATTAAAAAAGTTATAAGAAACTTCTTATCCTTTCAATTGTGTTCTCATCAAATTCCTATATGTTCCCGTATGAACGTATTTGTTCATATTCGCTTATTGGACTAACAAATTTCTTATACAAATAATGTTTTTTACTAGGGTAGTGATTGATTGTAATCAAGCGATTGCTATAACCTGCTTGATCACTTTGGTAGTACAAAAGGTTTTTCAGGATCATTTTGTTAATAATATAATAAACAAAGTTATTAGCTGAGCCTATTTTGTATTGGAGCCACTGAACTTGGACGGCTGTCACTCTAGGTAATGGTTTGTATTGTTTATATTTGTTGCGTTTTTTTCATTAAGCGTGTCGTGTGTGTGTGTGTTTTTTTTTTAACCGCCTTAATTTTCGAAAGAGAGCGTTGCCGGTGCCGAAATACCATAACATGCAATAAAAACTCATTGAAACCTGTTCAATTAGGTTATTACCCTGTTCTTTTGATATATATTTTTCGTCGTTCTTTTTTACAATCGGATTGAGCTTCATACATTGTAAACCCCTCCAGAAACAGAATTTTTGCCGGTGCCATTTTTATTGTTAGTGCGTAAGGCGTATGCTTGGCTCGTGTTCCGCAGTGATGGAAGTGATGAATACCGGATACATATACAACATCTATATTTAAAAAAATATAGAAATAATAATTTTAACTTTTACACAAAAAGTGGCTGATGGCCTTCTATGAAAACTCTACTTTTGAACTTCTGTCACTATTTCGGTGGTCAATGGTCCTAATTATTGAAATATTATGCTCATTATACCAAATGCAATACATGCATTAGTATTATGAATAATCAGAATTTGTTACAAGCACGGGGGGGGGGGGGGGGGGCTTAATTAAAATATTTTTAACTCTGGAATCAACTTATTGCCTTTAAGGACGGCTGAATAAAATATTTCTGAACATAGATCTACCGGTGCTAATAAGCCACTGAATCCTGGAGCATTCTTGAGCAAGCAGATATTCAAGCTAATATTACCGTAGCACTGATGTTATAAGTCAGACGACGAAGACGGCACAATAAAAATTCTTTATCGGGCGTATCGTAAGGAGCACTGATGTGATCCTTCCGATAATTCTGATTTATCTCCCTTTGATTCTTCACTGAAAAAAAAATTGGGTTGTGTGTACGTTTATACAGCCTAGAACTCGGTCTGCCCTGCAGGGGTGACGAGTCTCCCAGCTGTAGATGAGACATCTAGCCAGTGCGGTACAGCCGCTAGCCTGGGGTCTTTAACGTGCATCACTCAGTAGTGAAACACGACTGCGCGCCGGTACGATGCTCATCCAGATCGAAACGGGCAGGGGTTGCGATTGAACCCAGGATTCTGGGTTCTGCAGTGCGAGCTTTCGCTCCACGTGCCCCGAGCTGGTGTGCGCTAGCCCACTCGGCCACCAATCCCCGATTCTTCACTGAATATTTGTTGAGTCAGCGTTTCTCCGTTTCTGTGTCTTACTTGTCCTCCGTCTTTAGCACTACTTTCAACTGCGTAATTTATAACTAACTAGCCCGTCACGTGATCTCAGCACTGTTGTGATTAGTATAATTAGCATCGCCATTATGACACCACTCTGAGCGTATTAGCGTTAATTTGCAGCGTTCACTTGACGTGAAGGCTATTCATAAATATTTTCTTTAGCTTCCCCACTGAACACACAGTATTCAAGCTCAGTGTTCGAGGCTAATAACAATAGCAGCGAACAAGGGATAATTTCAGATGTTGCATTTTATGGCGCTCATTGCTGTGCGCTTTGCAGTTACTCGCGCGTTGACAGTGAGTGTTGGCCAGGTTTTTTTCGCGCAGTGAAAACTGTTGTTCATGGCAGATGAGAAGTTGCTTTAGACAAAGTTTGTTCTAATGACGACATGAGGATACCAATAATTTATAGACTCTCCTCTAGTCGAAACTTGAACCATTCACCACTTGATGGTGGTGTTGCCCTTGGCAGTTCGAACTCGGCTAGAAACTCCACTCCCCCCGACTGAGTAAATACTCAACAATTTCCTCCAAAATCTCAAGATAACTCTCAACCTACCTCGAGATTTTCCTCGAGCCTCAAATAGGTTTTTGTTGTCGTAGCGGCCGACACAATGTTCACCGAGTTTGTGAATGTTGTCCTCAGAACCGACAAACTCCTGCACCACAGCGAAGACGATAACCTTCCAGTGTAATGGCGTTTTTTCAGGAACCGGCTGACCGCGATGGAGGTGTTCAACAAGTGCGAATTGTTCGCTTGCTAGCGCATCCCGGAAGTGACGGTGGCCGTGCCTCTTAAGTTCCTGAAGCCGGAGAAACGGGAGAAGAGTTGTGGTCTGTCGGTCCCTCGAATGCTCTCGCTGTTGATTCAGCTGCAGTTCTACGTCGCTGGGACGTTACGGTGCCCGGTAAACGGCCACCTGGTAAATGTTTTGCAAGCCACAGTGTGCCGGGTTGTTGGGCAAGTGTCCCGGCTCATCGCCAGCACTGGCCAGCACGCTGTGTTACCGTCTTGTCTATTTCTCGGAGAGCTCGGCGAACTTTGAGTTTTAGATGTGAGACTTTTATATACTCAAGCTTATGAAATAAAATGTATTATTTGGCACTGTATGAGCGAAACGTGCCAAAGAGGTGGTGTCTCATTTTACCGAAAGGCCCATTTAAACATTACCATTTTACCGCGTGACTACTTCGTGCAAGAGTGACCCTCAAGGTTATGAGGGCTTCCGTCGAGTTACGATTGCAAGACACCAGGATATTCGTGCTTCGTGCATGGCAACCAATTAAAAAAGTGTCTCTGCAGGCGACATACGGAGCAAAGATGTCCTTGTGGCTCGCGGTCATATCCACATGCAATGTTAAGAAAACGTAACCGAAGGTCACTCTGTGCATACCTTCGTTTTTCGGGTTATGTATCTTCGCGAAGCAACGAAAGCATGCTAGAGCAGTTTAATGAGTTCATTACCAGCATTTATTCTACGGACATGTAGAATAGAGTTCACATGTACAACATACAGAAATTAAATTTCAAGTTCGTACTGAAATGAACATGTCGAATGTGTGGTTTCCGTAGGCTCTGGCACATTCATTGTGCTTTTAGTGCCAAATGACTGTGGTTTTATGCCAACACAAGTGCATAGAATATGTACTTGTATTGGCTCCAGTACCTGCTACGATTTCTATGTTAGGGCTGCATTTGGGAGGGTGCCAAAAATGAGAACTGGGCTAATTAGAAACGTATATAGTAAAAAAAACACAGTTCAGGCCACGGCTCTTCTAAGAGGCCAGTACGCCGAAAGGCTTGAGGGTAGAGGAAATTTGGCGAAGAAAGACTGGTGGCGTTGTTTTGTCCACTGTTCACAGTCTGATCAGTTGGCTAATTAAGTATAGTTTGTTCATTAACTTTTTAAATAGTGGAAAACAAATATTGTCACGTAGGCGAGGAAGACGTCGGCGGTGATAGAACCTAAGAAGGGCTTAATGAGCAAGCTGCAAAGCAGAATCAAAAACAGGCGGCGGGCCCATCCGATCAATCTGCTCGCAGTTCTTCGAAATTGCGCGGAGCACGAGTGAGCCCCAGACGCGAGCCCCGTGCAGAACCGAAATCACCGAGGCGCGCTGTCATATGCGCGAACAACTGAAGCATTTCTTAAGTACGGCAATATGGTTCCAATTAGAAACGTGCTAAGCGTTATAGAAAACCCCTAAATCGACTGTTTTTAGAAAGATACAAAGCAATGGCAGAATTTTACGGCATTCCACAAGAACGCTCAATTTGGACGCGTTTCTAGGTTTCGTGTCATTATCGGAGCGCATCTCTGCGCCAGCTGTCCCGCTACCCGGTGGCCGAGACGTGCAACACACGTGCGAAACACTTCCCTCCATTTTACGCGCCGCGACCACCGGGGAGCAGGGCTGCGGGCGCAAATATGCGCTCCAATAAGAAACCGAAACCTAGAAACGCGTCCAAATACGTGTTGTTTTAAGAACGCCGTAATATTTTGCCTCTGCCCTTTATCTTTCCGAAAATAGCTGATTTAGTCGTTTTTGATGACGCTCAGCAAGTTTCTAATTGGAACCATATGTCTATTGTCACTCATTTAAAGGTTAAACAACAAATTATACCTAATTAGCTGTCAGATCATTACGATTAGTCCCCTGTATTGTGTGCTCATGCCGGTTAGCCTCACCTGCACAAACCTTTTAAAACAAATCTGTTACCCTCAAAATAAAAATTTTAAAAAGTATATTCATGTTTTGCACCGAAATTACGTTCTATATTAAACACTTTTTGTAGAATATCTCCTCCAGGCGTCCCCGGGAACGGCGGATTGGAATATGGAATCTCGTAAAATTTCACCGTGGAGGAATCGCCGAAAAGCATCTGTGAAGCCAAATGCCTCTCGAGTGTGTATGGTGCACATTTTTCCTCCACTGTACTGAGTGGAGTTGGAGTTGGAATCGAGTAGCGTTTCAGAAGACGGTCGTCCATCTAGGTATGCTATAAAATGCTCCAAGCCTATATACAGCCTGTAGATATACCTCACGCCGTACAGCACTGTCCCATCTGGATCAATCTTGACGAGCTCGTTTGGGGCCGTGATGCTGTGGATGGCCGCGTCCTTGGCGTTCACGAAAAACAGGTCCGGTTTCCAGAGCCGCGCCGTCAGCGTTTCTCCGCTGAGCATTAGCGTCTCGTTGATGCCGAAACGCAGCAAGTTGAGCCTGGGATCGAGCCAGGACTGCTCCAGATACGCGTCCAGGCCATAGTCCTGCCGAAGTGGACGTTCCTTGTACATCGTTCAGGTATTTCAAACTTTTAACATATCTTACGTGGTCAGGTTTGTGTCCGTATAGTGCTAACAGCACACGCTAGTTTTATCCGCGAGGGTAACGACAATGGGCGATGTACTGCACAAAAATTAGTGTTGGTAATCCTCGGTCTGATCTGAACAACCACCGGGACTGCAGGATAGACAGCGGAAGCTATACTTCGTTTCACTAAAAGTCCGAGCGCAGCCAAGAGCTGTAAGACGTACTAGAAACGCCGACTCACAAACTAAACGCGGGAAGTCACGGCGCAATCACTGCGTTTGAATGGCTTAGCCGGAGATAGCACGAGCAGGAAAATACCACTAACAACGTGATTATGCGCTTTTAGTACTGCTTGACTCACCCCATCAACTCGTGTGATTGGCTGGCCTTGGACTTAAAGTGAAAGTAATTATAGAAGCGATGTTATAATTTTGTGTGGCCATTCATTCAAGCAGTTTGAACGACTAAACTTAAACAGATTCGATGTTCGAGATGGAAGTTTACCAAAAACTTTGTGCATCTGGGAGGGCACTTTTTATAATGTCACCGGGGGCTTGAGGAGCGGTCGACGCCTGAATCCTGCCCGACCGCGATTGTCGATTCTCGGTCGTTCATTATGTGAAGTGACCAAACTCGGACTCTTTTCACGGTACCGCACACTGTTGCTCCCGACAAAATCTGGCGAGAGACGGCATCCGCGAAAGCGTGGGGTTAGTAGAGCAGCTAACGAGCTCAGGGCAGGGCCGGCGCTACACCAAAACGCGTGCTGGGTGAACGCCGGCCGTGACGCCCCTCCCTCTCTCCCCCCCCCCCCCCCCGCTCTCTCTCTTTATACGCCCATATCTACTAGGTGCGACATCACTTTGTTAGTAAACATCTTACTGGTGACCCAACACGAGCATTTTGTCAAACGAGAATCGCATTCCAAAAACGAACGGCGATCGAGCATATAACTCGCGTCGGGCGCCGTGCCCAAATAAATAAAAGATATAAAAATAATTCAAAAGGGGGCGCGCCGTCCTCCCCCTTTTAATGGCGCCCTGGGCGACCGCCCAGGTCGCCCAACCTTAGGGCCGGCCCTGGCTCAGTGGAAGCTTTTCCCACCTCTGTTCAATCTAGTAGAACAAGACACTAGAGAAGAGGTCGCAAACGCTGGAGAGGAGGTGACCTCCTCTCTAGTGTTTGCTCTGCCGAAGTGGAAAGAGGTTAGAGGATCTCCCTCTAAACGCGTAACCTGTCACGGACTACAGTTCAAACAAGCTTAAAGTACAGATTGAGAAGCAGACAACTTCATTTTATTATCACTCATTTTTTTTTTTCTCAGTCAAGGTTAGCTGCTATTCGAATGGCCATTTTATGCGAGTTAGGGCCGCGTCGGGTAATGTACGTTTAAACCCATTTGTACTTAATAAATATTCAGCAAAGACGTTGAGTGAAATTTGAAATTATTCATGCTTGCCAGAAAGGCGCTATCTAGTAGTACATTGAATGACAGTCACTAGAGTACATTTCGCAAAAACAAAAACGAAATTTTTTTTTTCGTTTTAGTTTTTACTAAACCAGGTAACATCTAGAAAACCGGGATAGGTATTGAATCAGTCCAGAATTTATACTTTTCACAACGGCGTCTATTATGCAATAACAGAGTTAATTACAACGAAGAAAAGAAGGAACTCGCCATGTTGCTGGAGTCAAGGGGCCCCATGTCATAGACGTCTACGTAGACAGTAACTTCGGTGGGTAAAGCTGCAATCGTGCATCATTAAAGCACGAGAAGGAAAGGCACAATCACCACTGGATCATATAAAAACTATAATAATCAAGTGACCGTCCAACAGAAAAGCAAAAAGAGCAGTCCTGTGCAATTCCAAAAACAGTCAGAACGATGGCTGCGACAAGTAAGGGCGACGTAGTTGTGCATCGTCGTCGCGTTCACGCTCCGTGGGGTTCTTGAACAAAAGTGTGCGGAACAAAATATACATCTGACCAACTTGTTTCGAACAGTTTTTTTTTTTTTTCGGAGTGCTTGAAAGTTTGTGTTTTCGCAAGAGCTTTTAGCCTTGACAGTGCTACGACGGCAATTTGTTATGAGACTACGCCTTACTATGCTAGCAACAACATCGACAACGAACGTTATTCCCAATGGTGAAAAGAACCCATAACAGCTCTCGCTGGAAAACACTCCAGAAGGGTAAGTGTTTCATCATGTCACGTAAACTTTTTCTGTGCCCTCAATTGAGAACCCTATTATAAATAAACTTTTTTTTTTTTCACTGTAATGAGGATCTTTACTTCAAAATACGAGTGCGAGTGACAATGGCAAGAAAGAGTTCCGTCCCATTGTTGTCGTGGTTACTAACAGTTCTACAAAGTGTTATGTTTTTGCACATTTATAAAAATAAACTTGCAACAGGCTTTTGTTAGCCCTTAGATCAGTTCGGAGCCATTAGGCCACTAGAAAAAATATTTTCGTTAATTAGATAGCAAATTAACTATAACGTTTTCATTACTTTGTTAAAAGCCTGCATGTTGTGCATGTTTGAGGGTATAATGTAGTTGAATCGATGCTCACGTGTAGTTGTCACGCCAAAAATTGCTTAAAAAATTTGTAAGGACTCTACGGAGCAAGACATATCAGTCTTGTACACGCATCCAACCGAAATAAACAAGCAAAAATCGCCCGTGACGTTAATCCTTCCTTTCTGCGCTTGAGTAGCATTACTGACGTTTTTTTCGGCACTATTTAAACATCATAAACGCGAGTATAAAAAAAAAAAAAGCTTGTTATAGGAATTGAACTTACGCGATCCAAGGGTGGGCCAAGCGCGCCGATCATAGTTTTCGAAGATTTGATCGAGAAACGGGAGCTTCGGGAACTCTTTCCTGTACCCCTGTGCGCTCTCCAAACTGTAGTGACTCACCCGTGGCTCGATCCAACGTGCATGTGTCGTCGCAGGGCTGTGCTTGACATTCACACTGTTCGGTAAAATTGAGAAAAACGTCACTTGCTAAAAACACAGCGCATGATTACTGCTGTATTTTTTTTCTTTTGGGGGGGGGGGGGGGGGTTGTTCTTATTTTATGGTAACTTGCGAAATTCACATATAAAACAACAGCAACGCAGACTTCCAAAATGATTTCATATTGCCGCGGGCGCAGCTGACAAAGTAGGCTGCGCGCTCGTGGCCTAACGGTTATCGCGCGTGCCTTCTACGCAGAAAGCCACGGTTGGATTCCTTGCCGCGTCTACACATTTTTGATGATGCTGCAATGTGATATTCTGGTAAATTCGAGAACCGTGTTGCCTGATTCGAGGTTAGAATTTTCTAACACCGAACCTTCTACGCCGCAAGTTCCAGAAGCCCACGTGGGTACAAAAGGGGCTCCGCGTTTCAAGCCGGGGTCAGTTTCGCCCCAGCGTTGGACTCTGGTCTTTCGCCGGCTTCGACGCCCGCGACGCTCTGCTGTTGTCTTCTGTTTCCTTTTTTTTTTATTTTTGGGCACAAGTTCGCCCCCATTAAACATTTCCGTTTCCCCAGTTATTCTTGGTTTCCTCGCCTGTTCATTTGTGACAATATTAAGATGACAGTACTAGAATACCATAGTCGAAGTTGAGGCGTGGTCATTCACAATATCATACATGGATCACTCCCCATAACGAGTGGCGTCCACGTTCCTAATTTTACGAGTTTGTCACGATAAAAGCATAATGAGGAAAAGGGAGTCTCTTCTGTAAGGTGTACGGCCTGAATGACATGTGCCAGGATTTGTATTACGTATGGTCACTCTAGACGCATTCAGTTTTGCTTCCAGTATATGCCATATTATATTTTATATTCTGACAAACTATTGCCGATATAAATTTTTCGAGCCTATTTTCTCGTGGCGATTTAACGGAAATTTAGTTATTAACGATGTAAGAAGCGCGATATTATTAGTAAAAACGCGGTATATACATATTGCAAATGGTATGCGGTTATAAACGCTTCTACTGAAGGGGATGTTCCTACAGCTCTTTTAAGGAGGCAACAAAACTTGTTCCCCACTAGAAACTGTAGCAGTAAAACTATATACAGCTAAATCTGTGTTCGCGCTTACTGTTCCATGGCACTTACTTCATAACAAGGTACTGTTAAGTACGATAATGGAGAAAAAACGAAAGACATTCACAACTCCCTGTAACGCCGAATTAGAGCGCCGCTCTTAAGGAGGAGGGGGGAGGGTATGGAGTGGAAGGTACGTCCCTCCTCTTCCTCCGAACCCTCTCCTCCTTCCCTCTTCCTCTCCCCCTCTCGTGCTCCTCTGCTCCTCCTCCCCCTCCTTTCCTGCTCCTTTTCCTCCTCTCTTGAGGCATTCTGACTTTGCGATATACCGTGCTAAACGTCACTGTCGTATTATTGAAAACATCGTCTTATGGGAAACGTCGTGACGTCACTCATGGAGTCGCGCGTTGCATTATGTGAAGCGTCCCGTAATGTACCGCGCGTTTCATCATGAGAAACGTCACTGTCGCATTTTAGAAAACGTCACTTTCGCATTATGGGAAACGTCACAATATGGGAAACGTCGTGACGTCACTTGTGAAGCCGCGCGTTGCATTACGGGAAACGTCACAATACGGGACACGTCGTGATGTCCCTCATGAAGCCGCGCGTTGCGTTATGGGAAACGTCCCGTAATGCAACGCGCGGTTACGCGCACGGCAATGGCGACGCCGCTCAAGCCGGAAACGGGCGCCTAAAAGCTGCGCTCTAAAACACACACAAAAAAATAATACTCTAAGAGATTGAGTATCCGGCACTGCTGACCATTTAACAACACCATTAATGTAATCTTTCTCACTTTCTACGTTCTATTTATTCATAATAACAGCATTAATTCGTCATAAAGCGAGACCATAACAATCCGTCGGTTTTACAGGCAACGCCTGAATTCAGAAAGTCATAAAAAGGGGAACGTCAGTACTCATATTTATTATCCGAGT